CACACCCTCTCCAGCATTTGTTGTTTCTAGATTTTCTGATGATGCCCATTCTAACTGGTGTGAGGTGATACCTCACTGTAGTTTTGATTTGCATTTCTCTAATATTAGTGATGTTGAGCAGCTTTTCATGTGCTTCTTGGCCATCTGTATGTCTTCTTTGGAGAAATGTCTATTTAGGTCTTCTGGCCGTTTTTGGATTGGGTTGTTAGTTTTTTTAATATTGAGCTGCGTGAGCTGTTTATATATTTTGTAGATTAATCCTTTGTCCGTTTTCAAATATTTTCTCCCATTCTTCTTTGGTTTCCTTTGCTTTGCAAAAGGTTTTAAGTTTCATCAGATCCCATTTGTTTATTTTTGTTTTTATTTCCATTATTCTAGGAGGTGGATCAAAAAAGATCTTGCTGTGATTTTTGTCAAAGAGTGTTCTTCCTATGTTTTCCTCTAAGAGTTTTATAGTGTCTGGTCTTACATTTAGGTCTCTAATCCATTATGAGTTTATTTTTGTGTATGGTATGAGGGAGTGTTCTAATTCCATTCTTTTACATGTAGCTGTCCAGTTTTCCTAGCACCAGTTATTGAAGAGACTGTCTTTTCTTCATTGTATATCCTTGCCTCCTTTGTCATAGATTAGTTGACCATAGGTGCGTGGGTTTATCTCTGGGCTTTCTATCCTGTTCCATTGATCTATATTTCTGTTTTTGTGCCAGTACCATATTGTCTTGATTACTGTAGCTTTGTAGTATCTATTTTTGTTTTTTTTTTTTTTTTTTTTTTTTGCGGTACTCGGGCCTCTCACTGTTGTGGCCTCTCCCATTGCGGAGCACAGGCTCCGGACGCGCAGGCTCAGCGGCCATGGCTCACAGGCCCATTCGCTCTGCGGCCCGTGGGATCTTCCCGGACCGGGGCACGAACCCGCGTCCCCTGCATCGGCAAGCAGACTCTCAACTACTGCGCCACCAGGGAAGCCCCATATTGTCTTGATTACTGTAGCTTTGTAGTATAGTGTGAAGTCAGGGAGTCTGATTCCTCCAGCTCTGTGTTTTTTTTGTGTGTGTGTGCAGTACACAGGCCTCTCACTGTTGTGGCCTCTCCTGTTGCGGAGCACAGGCTCTGGACACGCAGGCTCAGCGGCCATGGCTTACGGGTCCAGCCGCTTCGCGGCATGTGGAATCTTCCCGGACCGGGGCACGAACCCACGTCCCCTGCATCGGCAGGCGGGCTCTCAACCACTGCGCCACGAGGGAAGCCCTCCAGCTCTGTTGTTTTCCCTCAAGACTGCTTTGGCTATTCGGTGTCTTTTGTGTCTCCATACAAATTTTAAGATTTTTTGTTCTAGTTCTGTAAAAAATGCCATTGGTAATTTGATAGAGATTGCATTGAATCTGTAGATTGCTTTGGGTAGTAGAGTCATTTTCACAATCTTGATTCTTCCAATCCAAGAACATGGTATATCTCTCCATCTGTTTGTATCATCTTTACATCAGTGTCTTATAGTTTCTGCATACAGGTCTTTTGTCTCCCTAGGTAGATTTATTCCTAGGTATTTTATTCTTTTTGTTGCAGTGGTAAATGGGAATGTTTCCTTAATTTCTCTTTCAGATTTTTCATCATTAGTGTATAGGAATGCAAAAGATTTCTGTGCATCAATTTTGTATCCTGCAACTTTACCAAATTCATTGATTAGCTCTAGTAGTTTTCTGGTGGCATCTTTAGGATTCTCTATGTATAGTATCATGTCATCTGCAAACAGTGACAGTTTTACTTCTTCTTTTCCAATCTGTATTCCTTTTATATTTTGTTTCTTCTCTGATTGCCATGGCTAGGACTTCCAAAACTTTGTTGAGTAATATTGGCGAGAGTTTTCCTATAGGTTTTACAATCTGGATTTTGCTCATTGTATTCCCAACATGTTGATTTAATATGTTCCTCTATCTCCTGTGTTTCCTATAAATGAGTAGTCAGATCCAGAGGCTTGACTAAATTCTGGTTAGATTCTTTTTGGGGTTGGGAGGGAGAATACTTTACAGGTGATCGCATCCAGGGGTATATTAATGTCTACTTGCTTATTTTTTGTGAAGTTAAGTAGGCCTTAAATGTATCTTAAAGGTATTTTCTAGTTCTCAGTGGGTTCAGATGTTATTAGTCTGATCTACTTAATGTAAAAGGGATTTTAATTGAGTTTAGATTAAATCACCTGCTGTCTTTGTAGATGAAACTGTTCAGAAACATTCGAACTTGAGTCATTGAAATGGTAGTTATGGAAAGTAGTGTGGCTGCTTATCTGACAGATTTTCTTTCTAATAGCTGGAGGAAGAACTAAAACAGCAGAAAGAAGCAGCTTGCTTCAAGGCTCGTCCAAACACCGTCATCTCCCAGGAGCCCTTTGTTCCTAAGAGAGAGAAAAAATCCCTTACTGGTAGTATTTTATGTATTCTTGGGGCATTGGGGCAGAATGGTTAGACTTCCTGGGACTCAGTTGTGTCAGTACAGTGCTGTGTCAACCAGAAGCGTCTGCCTGTAGAGGATCTAGTTTTTTCTCCCCTAATAGCTCTTTATTGAATCCAGCAGCTATGTTGATTTGTAGAGTGTGTTGGGGTCAGATTCATAGAATAAGCACCTGGCATTTCAACAACAATTTTACTTTCCCCACCCAGAGAGTAGCAAGTAAGTGAGGGAGAGCCAGGACTTCTTTCTGGAGTTCACCCTAAAGCAAACCTTAGATAGAAAACATTTGATTCCTTAAGCACTGGGCAGCATTTCAAAAAAGTGGGATTCTTTTTCTAAATCTGTCTCACAATCACTGTGTAGTTTTGAGCAAGCTACTTCACCTGTGTAGGTCTTGCTTTTCTCCTAATTAGATGATTTATAGGGGCCTTTCCAATGATTTATAGGGGTCCTTAAAATTTTAGGACTTTTTGTATGTGGTTTACTCCACCTTTCTCCCAACTAGGCTTCCTTAGAGCTCCATCTTTCTGTTGCCATGCGTATCTATCACTTGCTGGATCTGTGGGGCTGGGTTTATGCAAGTCTTGCTTGTGCACCAATATTCTCTCTGTTTCTGTACTCAGAGGGCCTTTCTGGTTCTCTAGTTCAAGAAACTTTTCAGCTGGCCACGGAGAAGAGAGCCAGGGAGCGGCAGGAGCTGGAGAAGAGAATGGCTGAGGTGGAAGCCCAGAAAGCCCAGCAGTTGGAGGAGGCCAGGCAACAGGAGGAAGAGCAACAGAAGGAGGAGCTGGCCAGACTACGGAAAGAACTGGTAACTGGGCAGCATGAGCGCTGACTAACCCATGGTTGCGTCTGTTTTGTTTTATCTGTACCTTGCCTTGTTCCAGAAAGGATCTAAGGTGGCCTCCAAGGATACATCAAAGTTGAGTGAAAATGAGAAGTCAGACAAACCAGGGGTGGTGACAAAGTTGAGGAGTGAACGAGGCTAAAGATGTGTACATTGTGATCCATGGATCTGCTAAGTGATATAAACAAGCAGTTATTTAACAAATACATTTATCTTTGATCCTGAATTCAGTCAGAATTTCTTCCAGGGATCTAAATAAGGAGGACATCAGGTGCTATACTAGTGCACAGTGATATATTTGTAGGACTCTTTATTTAACTTTTTATTATTGCCTTAAGGCTTAAGGAAACCAATGTGTTTTACAATTAGAATACATAGGTAGGGAAGGACATGGGAATTGTGTGACAACTATATTTTCATTTTCCTCCTAATACTTGACTCAAATTCCTTGGAGTTATAGTGCATATCAGTCCAGGTTACCTTCCATGTTAACACTAGATAATGATTTAAATATTAGTTATCCAAAAAGAAAGCTTAATTCACATTAAGGATCCTTTCACTAGGAGGGCAGCAAGCCACATTAACTGCATTAATTAGGAAGAACACAGTTTTAGATAGAATTTCATATGCTTAGTAAAAGGATGAATATAGCAATATGTAAGTTGTTGAGGTTTTGTCTAAAAGTGCTAAGCCAGCAGCTGATACAGCTGTTGGTAGAGGTGACTGGCCACAGGAGGGCTCTAGGGACAAACTATTAAAGGGACTAGCTTCCTGACAAAATCCAAGCTACCGTATGCTGACTGGATGTACTCACAAAACCAGCCTCAAGTGTTTTGACTTTTCTAAAGCACTTGAATCCTGCCTCTTGTGATTGTCTGTTTCATAGAATTCTCTACTAATCTGGCTTGATTCAGGGTTGATTTTAGACTGTAAGAAGGATGGATGGGACCATGCCTTCTCCTGGCAACCTTTCTTGGTTATTTTATTTTATTTATTTATTTTTGTCCATGCTTTTGATGAATATTAAGACTCAATAATCTTAAGATTGTACTCTGGCAAATTCTTAACATGTATCTCCTTTCTGCTGCAATTGAGTACAGCCCCGTTATACCCTAGTACCGAACAGTCAAACTGGAGATAGGTGCAAGCTGAGGGATCCAGCAAGACCTGAATAGAAACCTACTTGAGCTCCAGAGCTCTTGTGCTTTGCTGCTAGACTGTGTTGCCTCCCCCCAACCCCCAAATTAGTGACTGGGATTTGCAAAACTATACAAAAATGTTCTCAAGAAGAGGAGCAAAAACACCCATAAGTGTAGTTCTCTAACATCCTTATCAATGGTAACTTTATTTTTCTCACTGCAGGTACACAAGGCAAATCCAGTACGCAGGTACCAGGGTGTGGAAGTCAAGTCAAGTGACCAGCCCTTGACCGTGCCTGTATCGCCTAAGTTCTCCACTCGATTCCACTGCTAAACTCGGCTTTGAGCTGTGGACACCGTCTGGGAACCAGAGCTACTCTTCCCATTAAACCAGGAGCCTTCTTTGTCACAGGGGCATGGAGAGAACCCATTTCTCCAGGCTTTTTCCTACCCATGCCTGACAAGTGTGGACTCCAATTTCATTGAGAGCTGTTTTCCTACATTATTGTGGCTAATAATGAGACTCAACTCATGTATGTCTCAACCAGACTCCATGTAGTTATTTCCTTGGAACCATCAGTTGACCTTTAATATGGGTCTTAACTCTGACTAGAATTTAAAGTCTCTGTATCAGTACAGTGTAACTTCTGTTGCCCTTACCCCCCGCCCCCCTTTTTTTCCTATTTTAATCAGAAAATAAAGATAGTTAAATACTGAGATAGGATTTAAGTCATGAATTAAATGAGGAACCATCAGTAGTATGTCAGATTCTTTCCTCTTCTCTATGCAAAATGAATTTAGAGTTAAGGAGCCCTTCGCTACGAGGGGGGAAGCCTCATTAACTGCATGACGAGGAAGAGACTTGACTGACGGGAACCTCACAGCAGCCATCGGCTGGCCTCGGGTAGAGCTTGCTGTTCAGGCACGTTCTTCCCTTGTTGGTGCTGATGATAATAGGGGGCGCTGAGTAGTACACGTTTTAAGTCCTCCAGTGACCTAGACTGGAATAAATATGTTTGTCTTCCCTCCCTGATTTTGTTATTTGATGTTTTTAAATCTGTCCCCCTTTGGAGGTCACATCTTATTGGGGAAGTGGGTACTTTGAGAGGAGGGTCTCGGAACTTTTAAAAGCATAGGCTCTGTCCTTAAAGGAAAGAGCTTTGTGACTTTTTTCTGTCTTATGTCAGAATATCCTTCCATATTTTGTTAACTCCCTCCTAGGAGCCACTCTGGAAGCCTGTTATGCCTTCAAAACAGACTGTGCCTTCTTCTCTAAATGTGTTTTTTCTCATCTGGTAAACTCTTCTTTATAAGACTCAGCTCTAGTAAAATCTTTTTCGTAAATCTTTCCTTGACAATTTGACCTCCTCAGGTAAGGTAAGATTTCCTTCTTTGTGCCTCCCAAATGTTTCTTATGTATATCTCTAGTAGAACAGTTATACCACTGAGTTACTTGTACCTGTTTACAAACTAGTAGAGATGAAGATAACTAAAATTATGTCAGTCCTTGAAGATAAAAATTATGTTAATCATATCTGTATTTCTCATAGTTGGCACAGAATTTGCTAGGTCCATGTTATCAATAGTGTATTTTCTTTTAGACTTGATATTGTTTATGAACTCTACTCTGTACCAGTCATCTGTTCCTGTGCCACGAGATATAAAAGCATCCATCTTCTGCCCAGGCTAGGCCTAGGCACTATATATGATATTAGACCTATGTTATATTCCTTTTGTTTATTCATTCAGTGACCATTATGTACAAGCCATTGTAGATTTAGTGACGGGCAACAAAGCAAGATGTGATTTGCAGATCCCTGGGCCTCCTGAAGGCCCACAGAGTGATACAAAGTGCAGTTCCTTTATTCATTTCCTAGAGATATGTGGTGTACAGTTCCATAACAACTTGTGTAGTTCATTTAACAAATATTGATTCAGTACTAACTATATATACGTTGACACTATTCTAGTCTCTGGGCATATAGAAATGAACAGAAATAGAAGACCTTGACTTCATGGAGGTTACCTTTTAGAAGGGGAGACAGACAATAAACAAGTAACTGTCCTCTTCTGTCAGGTGATAAATGTTTCTCTGATTGACTGTGGAAAATAGACTGGGATGGGGACTTGGGGGCATGTAAGATTGGAAACAGGAAGGTGAGGAGGTTCTTGATGTTGTCCAGGTAAGAGCTGATAGTGGCCTGGGCTAGGGTGGTAGCAGTAGAGGCGATGAGAAATGGTTGGATTCTGAATGGATTTTGAAGCTGTAACTGACAAGACTTGCTAACAGATTGGGTGTGGGGAGAGAGAGAGAGAGAGAGAGAGAGAGATAGAGAGAGAGAGAGAAGATAAGGATGATATTTGGATATCAGCCTCAAACAGAAATAGAGTTCTCCATCCCTTGTGCCGTGAAAAATCCAGTTCTACCCCAGTCCTCATATCTCTTGTGGATTCTGTGGGTGGGGGTGGGACAACTTCCTTTTCTGAACACCTTTTGCTTTGGTTTTTCTCTGTTCATCTCTTGATCCCCTCTCTGTGTCTTTCCTCTGTAGCTTTTCTCCCTCCCATGTATCAGCAGTTCTCTAATAGTTCACTGTCATTCATATATTGCTATCTAGTATCATTTTTTCATATATTTTGTCCATTTTTTGTTTTGGTTGTTTCAGGTAGAAGAATAAATCTGGCCCTCAAGTTGAGGGTTTTAGAAAGAGTGTTATGTATTGAGAATTATGGACCTGTGGGATCCTTCCACCCCATTTGCTCCATTCTGGATTGCCCCCTCTGGACACACCCACATCAGGGTGATATTGTTTGACAGTCTGTTACAGGCAACAGAGAGGGATTATATTATTTCAGAGCAAATAGCTTTTAAAATTAAGATGCCCTTGCTTCCCAGAATTTCCCAATTTCCTGGTGGTCTCCTCCTCAGCACAACCTGTCTAGTATTGAGCCCTTTCTTTCTGGACCACCTCACATGACCTTCATTTTTCTAGGACAGCCTCCCGTTTCCCCTGAAACTCAAACTCTGCTTTTATTTTACAGAGAAATTCAGGTTCTTTATCCCTCAGGCCTTGTCCAAGAGGGAGCTTCTCTTTCAACACTCAGAGGTCACCCTGGAATTTTCCTAAACAAAGAACATGTCCTCTAATAGGATTTACTGAATTCTACTGAGAAATCTGGCTGCCACAATTTGCTTGGCAGTTTTGCAAAACTCCTAGCACATGTGCACATTCAGATTGTTAGAATTCCCACACTTGCTGGGAAGGACTGTTTTCAGTGTTGTTTTGACTTGGTCATGATTCCCCATTGCTAACAGTTTGTGCTAATTAATACAAGATTACCTTTCACTCTTAATTTGGTTGATCATTTTGTTCTTGTGTAATTGCTTTGTTCCCGTTTTGACTGCCTGTTTTATGCTTTAACAGTTCTTTTCCACAGAATTTTGTCCTTGGAAAGTGGAGCTTGAGTGGTGGACACACTGCAGTGGCAGTTGCTCCAGCATTTAATAGATACGTCTTATACACAAACAATTGTAACACAGGATAAGATGTGATTAAGTAACATGAGACAGACAGAAAAAATGCTGCAGGAGTTTAGAGGTTCTTGTTGGAGGTGAGATTGCAGTTCTTAAAGATGTTTCTTTTTTTATGTAAAAATTATGAAAGTAGTATAGTCATCCCTCAGTATCCACAGGGGATTGGTTCCAGAACCCCCTGTGGATCCCAAACTCCACGGATGCTCAAATCACATTTAAAATGGTGTATTTGCATATAACCTATGCATATCCTCCCATATACTTTAAATCATCTCTAGATTACTTATAATACCTAATACAATGTAAATCATTGTAAAGACAATGTAAATTATACATAAATAGTTGCACATGTACAGCAAATTCAAGTTTTGTTTTTTGGAACTTTCTGGACTTTTTTTTTTTTCAAATATTTTTGATCCATGGTTGGTTGAATCTATAGATATGGAACCTGTAGATACAGAGGGCTGACTGTACTGCCTTTTGGAAACAAAACAATACAGACTGTATAAAACAAAACACGAAAGTCTCTTACTTCCCCTACCCCCATTCCTCAGGAGTAACCCAGTATTACCAGTTGTGTATTCTTCCAGAACGTTTTTTATGTACACACACAGATTTATAGAGCATTTTTTATAACAATAAGATTATAGCATTACGCATTTGCCTTTAATTTTAATTTGTTCTTTGAAGGTTATATATCATGTCTTTCAAAATTTGAAAGCTACAAAGGGGTTTAGAGATGGTTGGTGCTGCCAGGTGTGTTCCCTTGCAGAGATGGCGTCAGCCTATATGTATTCATACCTACTCCCTCTTATTTTTCAACAAATAGTGTCATAATTTACACTCTGTAGCTTGCTCTTTTCATATGTGTTCTGCATTGAATAATGTGGTTCAGGCACTACCTTAGGCATGTACTAGCTTTCTCCCTGTCTGAAGTATGAAGCCTCTTATGAGAATCTAGTGACATGGAGGCAGACCTGGTGTGGGGTCTAGATGTCCTGGCCTAGTGACCTCAGGTCCCAAAGGCTCGAGGTCAGGTCAGCAAAGCCTGCTCTTTTAATTCCTCCTGGCTTAGCTGAGCCTTGGGGGTTCATTGGCTTGAGTATCTGATTAAACCTGTGTATCCCCTTAGGTCACTCTTGATATGCTTCCTTTTCAGTTCCCTTCTGAATCTTGTCTGCTGGGGAAGTTCCTCATTGCTGAGAGTAGCAGTTAAAAAAGCTGTCAGCCACGAGGCTGAGCTCCTATTTCTGCACAGGCAGGCTGAGTACAGCTTGGTGGTGTGGATTCAGGTAGGAATTGGTCAACATTCTGAATCCTGAGCTGCCATCTGCCTTGCAGCCTGCTGGGGTGCTCAGTTTAGACAACATATAAAGTTTCCTGGATACGGAACAAACCCAGGCCTATGGAAAGAGCAGGAAGGTTAAAGTGTGTGGTACTTTGAGCAGTGACGAAGGCATAACCAGGGAGCTGACATGTTTGCTCCAATGCCAAGAATTCGAGGACAATTTGTTATCCAGCTTAAGCCATTGTAGTTGCTACAGAAAAGCCTGGGGACAAAAACATGCTTTTTCCTTGTTTTTGTCTTCCTGCATACCCACTCTATTTTCTAGTGCTGTAGTGAAGGTTACTGACCTCAAAAACAGAAATGTCTGATGGTGTTTGCTCTTCTTCTTGCAAGAGAATATGAGGCTGGGCTGCGGTCAAAGCATAGCTCTTATGTGCTGAAGGTATCAGCTTCCTGAAAGGGCTTGACAAATGCTAACATTGTACTTGGAGAAACCATAGTTGGAGGGGCTTAGGGAAATACTTAGGGAAAATACTTAGGGAAATACTTAGGGAAATACTAGGTTTTATCAGGAATTATTTCACCAGACTAAGCCTAACCTGAAGGCGTCACCTACCTTCTCTCTTTTTCTTAAAATTTTATTAAACCGAAGGGAAGCAAAAACCTGGCCTGCGTGATCTGCCAAAACCCATGGGACTGGTATCCCAGAACCTCACAGGCAGGTGTGTGAATGGGTTAAGAATTGTTGCCTAGCTTATTTCAGCACTGATGGTATTCTCAGGGCTTCTTTCAGGAGCAAGGGTGGGAGAGGTATTTTTCAGTGGGTCAAATACTAAATAGTCAGTGGTTGTAAATTGTAATTTGAAAAGCAGTTTAGGGCAGCATTGTCAAGCTTGGTGGTAAGGAACGATGAAAAACCTCTGGCCTGGCACTGACATCCTCTACTCACGGCGTACAGGCACACTCTTACACAGACTAAGGGACTAGAAAGTGACTTTGAATTTGCTCTATATGAACATCTCAACAGAGTTTTGCAATGTTTTTGTTTATAAAATTGGGATTTATTGTTAATTACAATTCAGAAAATACCTGGTAATAGGAGGAAGGAGAAAAAAATCTGTGGTCCCATCACCCACCTTGAACACTGGTGTTTCTCTGTATAATATTTTCTTATATAAAACTTTAGTCTGTTTTTCTACATTGTA